TTTTTTTATCAATTAATTTATTAAATTTATCTAAATCTTTATATTTTTAATACTTTAATTTTTAATATATGTTTTTTTTATTTCTTAATTTAAAATTATTTTTTACAATTTAAAAAATAGATTTTTGTAGTGACAATTTTATAGATTACTGGGAGTTTGATTGAAATATGACCTTTTAGTAATTTTATGAATATTTGTAGCGTTTCTTTTTTTTTTTTTCTCTTTGTTAATAAGTGGTACACGCCGTTAAAAGGTAGACTACATATAAATTAATGACTTTAAATTAATAATTAAATCCTCAAACTGAAATTATAACTTTTAAATCTTAAAATTAAAATTTTTGAATAATTAAAAAATTAAACAATTAAGCTTGAATTCTTAAATGACATTGTGATTATTAAAATTTAAAATACATAATACCTTAATAAATTGGTATTTTTTTCTTTAAATTTTAAAATTATTCACTTTTATTTAATTTTAAAATTTACCAGATCTTGATCATGTCCTGTATTATAAAAAATTAAATATAAAAACATTACAAATAAACTTGACTTTAACCATGCAAGAGGCATGTTAAATATTAGACATTACAAAGACTTAAAAAATGATAACTAAAGTAATAACTAACTTGCTGGCCTCCTTGATATCGGCCTTACCTCTCTTTTCTTTTGATAATCTTGATATTATAGTCTATTATGGTATGAATTGTAAAATAAGAGCCTTTAAAATAAATTGAGATGATTTTTTTTTTTTTTTGAACATTTTAACAAGGAGCGGGTTCGAAACTTGCCAAAAAAAGGGGAGAATGCACCAGCTCACTGGCTAATGCCAGTGGGCCTCTAAGGCCAAGTGCGAGGTGATTACAAATATTGAACAATTATTTTTACATTAACAAAAGTTTTTCAGCATTAATATTTATTTTGTATAAGGTATAAAAGAATTTGATAAAAACAAATAAAATTTTATAAGATTAGTGCATATAAGTCTCAATTTTTAAAGATAATTAGATTTTTAACTTATATTTAGAAATTAAAATATCAATTTAAAATTAAAAAAATTAATAACTTAAATATTAATATTTAATAAAATAAATTTTTAAATTTTAAATTAAATTTTAATTAAATAAAAATACGTAATTTTAGATCATGACTTTAACTTTTTTCTAAAGTTAAAATTGATATGTATATTTTTAATTTTTATATACATTATTATAATACAAAAATATAATACTTCTGTTATTTGTTTGAACTCTATTTATATGTAAATTTGAAACCTTTATATATTTTTTTGGTTTAATGGAAAACATATTTTTAGGTTAATTTATATGTATTTAGAAACAAATTTCTCTTTAATTTATTAAAAAATAAATCATTGAGGTTAGATTAAAAAATTATAAAAAAATTATTTATTTATTACTTATTACCCTCTCCAAAATAAAATTTTAATTAACAAAATAAAAAATAAATCCTTTTGATGACTGAGCTACAAATGCTTTGGTTCTTGTGAATTTATCGGGCAGAATGTGTTTATATGTTTGGACTTTATTTATTGATAAATTTGAGCTATATTTACCCCTAACCTTAATTTGGTTTTAGTTTATTTAACAACTTTATATTTTTAGAAATTAGTGTATACTAATTTTGATTTTTAAAAATAATTAAAATTTTAATTTATATTTAAA